ACTGCCAGACAAGCCCCCTCCCCCACTCGCTCAGCCAGAAGCACCCAGAGAAACGGCCGGGCACTGCCCCCCCAGGGGGAAGGCAGTGGGAAGGGACACCCTGAAGACAGCCACTGCCCTGCAGGCCCACCTGCCTGCTCTCCTGGAGGCACCGTGCTGCCTCCCGACTCCAGACGGAGGGCTGGGAGGCTGCTCTGGGCCAGCCCCCCAGCCAGGCAGGACCAGCAGGAAGAGGGCCTGGGGGAGGGGGATGCACATAGGGGGAGTCCCCCAAGGTGCCCCACCTTCCAGGGATCCTGCTGAGACCGCTGTCCTTCCCACTGCCGTCCCCTGAAGGGACCTGCTGTCCATCCGCTCTCGTCTGCCCCCCACACACATGTCCCTTTGGCCTGCACGCAGGCTCCTGTCCCTGCAAACTCCCCTGCCCCACGTCCCCTCCTCACCCCCTCACCTGCTCCTGCCACCTCCTCTGACGTTGCTAGGCTTCTCCTCTGCAGCCCTTACCCTTGATCTCAGGTATGTTTTCGTGGTGGTGACTGTCAGCCTCCGAGGCTCCACAGATCCGCCTCTATCACCCATCTTTATCTCTTAGGCTTGGTGATTTTTTTCCTGTATGGTCTTTGCCAGATGACTTCTGGTTGAATGTTGGTCATCGTGGGTGAGAAGCTGTGCCATCAGCTGCACGCGCAGGGGGAGGCAGTCTGTGGGTGGAGCAAACTGTCTTAAGCCACGGGAGGTGGTCGGGCTGCAGTCAGCTTGCTGCATTCCTTGGGAACCCACTACTGAAACAGACGGTGAACACGTTTTGCGTTTAGAATCATGAATTAGAAGTTACTTCGTGCAGCGTGGCTCAACCTGACCAGAGAAATGCAAGCCTAACACTCCCACTGTGTGGCAGCAGTGGGTTGGGTGCGCACGAACCCCCTCTGCCGTCGTGGGCCAGCGGTGGCCTTGGGGTGCAGGAGGACTGGGGCTGGGAGCAGGCTGAGCCTGCAGGGCGCTGCTTTGTCCCAGGCCCAGCCCCAGTCCGGAGTGCGTCTTCTCCATTTACAAGAAGGAAGTGACCGAGTCAGAATGGGGAATTCCTTTCTGAATCTGCTTAGCCTGGAGCGTGGTTTGTGGGGACAAGGGGGAACCGGTTCATTTTCTCACCTTGTACACAGCCCCTGCACAGAGGGGCCCACTCTGTTCCCCTGATGTGAATGATTAGAACCTTGGACTCATGAAAGTAGACTCAAAATAATGGAATACTTTATGAGTTAAAACCAGAATGAAGCCTGCAAATTATACAGCCCAGCAGCTCGTGTGGAAGGCCCCGGCTGGACCTGGTCAGCGTCGGGGCCACCTGCACTGTGGCCCAGTTCGACAAGTCTTGTCCCCAGCTGGGCGCTGGGCAGCAGCCTCGGTGGGGGCCCCACGGATGCAGACGTGTGTCTGTGGGGCTGTTGGCGAGTATCAGCACGTGAGAAATGGCTGGATGGAGGGCACAGCCCTTGGCTGATGCAGACTAAGGAGGGAAACAGAAGGCTTGTCACTCCCTACTCTTTGCTTCACCCTGATTTTCTTAGTCCCTCCGGAGTCACGTCCTGTGGGTCACAGAGCCACCCGCAGGGCGTGAGTGCCGCGCGGGACTCACTTGGCGGAGCTGCTATCAGACTGCTCATATTTTTATAATAAGTGTCGTTGTACCCATCGGTTTATTCCCTATCCTGGAACAAGAATCGGTATGTAAAAATGACATTGACTCCATGTGACTTTTAACCTAAAAAGCAGCACAATGAAGTATTTATGGAGGCGGGGCCTGGAAGCCGCTGGGGCCTCCGAGTGCTAAGACTGCTGTCCTTGGGCGGGAGGCCTCGGCACTGCGGCTCTGACGGAGCCCGATCAGCAGCATCTAACTCCATCTGCCCGGAAAAGAAACACCCTTGGCGACTGTAATAAGGTTTGCTTTACTTTACAAACCAAGTCTTTCTGACGCCTGCAAGCCAGATTAACCCATAAACCCCAGAGGCGGGTTTGCTGGGCTATGCTTACCTCGTTCCCAGGACGGCTCCCTGGCCTGGCTCCACACAGTCACGGCGGTGAAAGCTGGCTGGCACATGAGGGCAGGACGTGCCGGGGACAGCAGACGGGGCCGGGTCCACATCTCCCCTCTGACGGCTCCTCCTCTTCAAGCGGAGAGTGAGGGCACCGGTGGGGGAGCCGCTCACGCCCTCTTTGGGTCACAGCGTTGCCAGCCCACTACCCAGGATGCACACTGTTCAGCAAGTACTTAGCCGGTGAGAACGTGGAGGGACACGGCGGCACTGGGTCCATTCACGCGTCCGGCTGCCACCATCAGCCTAAGAATATCACGAGCGTCACGTGCTCTCTTGGGAGCCAGAGATGTTGACGAGGGATCCGATGTATTTCTTGGGCTCAAGAAGCTCACAGTCTCATTCCAAACCTGTCAGCAAATACGTTCTGCTTGCATGATGCGTGATAATAGATGTAAGGCTGAGAGTTGTTCTGGGGGGAGACTTGAGCATGGAAGGGGGTTCAGAGGAGGACGCGGCCTGTGGATGCTCTGAGGACCCACCAGTGTTTAATCAGGAGCAGCCACTTGGGGTCCAAGCCATGGACACAGCATTTTGGCAGTGACGGGGTCAGCGCAGTGGAAGTCTGTGTTTTGTGAGGGTGCTGGAGGGCTAAGTGGCTGGTGTGACAAGGGGAGAGGAAGGGGCCTGGTCACCCTGCCGGCAGGTCCTGGCCCAGGGGAGGCACAGCAGGCCAGGGCAGCGCCAGGTGGCCGCCGATGGAGGCTGTCCGGAGGCTGAGGAGCCCAGGACAGCCCAGGACACACAAACACGCCTGTTAGGAGCATGGTCTGTGTCGTCACAGAATCTTGGTTTTGTAATGTAACCGTTGAATTTTTCACACTCTAAATTGTAAAAGACTACAGCGGTGAAACGAGATCATTTGGTGAGATTTCACTGGCATCGGACTCTAATTATTCAGGGAAAACCCATCTCATTCAACCACAGAAAGGTGTGCGGCACCACCAGGAGCCGAAGCCGCACGTGTGTGCCCAGTGTTCACCTCGGGCAGAAAGCAAGTGGGTTTCTGAACCTGCTGATGCTGACTGAAGAGCTCACAAAATAAAATAAATGAAAATGAGGAGCAGAAATCTTCCCAGTGGCCTGATTTTCAAAAAGCTATTCATTTAAATTTTTAATAATGGGAAGCAAGCTGGAAGCATGGAGATTCTTAGCTCTGACTTTTCCTACTTGTTTTTAATTCAGGAGTATTTTGGGGGAGCATCTGACTACAGAAAGGCTGAGCGGAAAGTATCGCTCCCGAGTTCCTCTGAACCCCCCATCCCACTGCCTGGGTTGTCAGGATCCCATCGCTGTGGGACTTTGGTTGCAGGTGATGCACCTGGCTGGCACGTCTGAAACGAATGCCCTGTCACTCTCCTTGCACTGTCACTGACCTCAGGGAAAACCGTGTTGAACCAAACGTGGAGAAAAGTATAAAGTTTTCAATAAAATGCCAAGAAAATTAGAACTCTAACTGAAAGATTATGAATTAAAAAATATATATATAAAGCTTTTACTTCTAGTTGTTATAGAAAGAAATAGGGTATGTGGAAGACTAAAATATTAGATATGTGTTCTCAATTTATTTGGAAATGGTTTCTCTTAATGCAAACATTTACAAGTCATGATCAATTAAAGTGACATAAATGGAAAGAACTCGAAATGGATGCAGACTCCTGAGCGGCTGTTTTATCCCGAGACTCGTGAACCAGCTGCTTGGAACTCCCTGGGGGAAACCGAACCTTGGCCCACCCGTCCTGACACTCACCGTAGGCCCTTTCTTCACTGGCCACCTGCCTCCACTCACCTCAGGCCCCGTGACAGCCATAGCAGGATGGAGACTGAGAGACACCAGCGTGCTGAGAACGTGGGCCAGCTGCTGGCGAGTCCGGAGACCTCTTTTCACGCTCCTTTGGGGCCTGGAAGGAGGGACTCAAAAAGGAGCCGCCTGTGATGACCTTGGGGAGAGCTTCTGGACCGGCAGGAAGCAGGCAGCAGAGGCCAGGAGAAACTCCCAGCAGGGGGCGAGGCTGGCTGGCCACAGGCCGGTGGAGGGACAGCAGTTGGTAGGAGGGGACACCGCCTGGCAAGGAGGGACAGCCAGGCCCAGCCAGGGGACCAGTGTCGTGCCACGGCCCTGGCTGGGGGGAGCCGCTCCTCCAGCTCAGACCACATGCAGCCGCCTCCCCCGAGCCAGGGACGACCATCTGGCACACAGCTCTTCTCACTGCAACTCAAGAGTCTAAAATGACCATTAGCTAAGTACTGCGGTATTTATTAACTTTAAACTCATTTTAATCTGTGCCATTTTTGCAAACATATGAAATCTGTAGCCTTAATAAAAGTCCATTTCTTCTTAGTAGATAGAGAAACTGAGGCTATGTCAACAACAAAACATGTCATGAGAAAGGGTGCAGTTTTCTGGATAAAACTCTTTGGTCTGTATAATTTTTCTGACCTTAAAATAACACAAGAATTCACTCCAATACAAAACTAAATGCTAGTTTTCTCAAAAAATTTAATTGCAGAACTATTTATAGGAGGTGAACATTAGCAATACAGAAATCAAATGAGGGAGGTGTCAGGAGAGTCATGAGGAAAGAACTCAGAGAACGCAATCTTTAAATGCCTTAAAGCGATGACCAGCATCCTGGTCGAAGTTATTGACAAGAAGCAAGAAACCATGGTGATGGATAGCTTCGTGCACACTCAGAGCAGGGATCCTGCATGCTACTAAATAGAATTTATCAAAAGAACCATAAAAGCATGAGAAAGAGAATTACATAAAATAGTTTAATTCCAGTGAAATATAACTTTATACAGATTTTTGATATTTGGCACTCTGCTCACCCTCACTGTCCATATGATTTCATATGTATATATATATATATATATATATATATATATTTTTATGAACTCTTTTTTAAAACTTTAACTAACAGCTAGTTTCCTGGTTCTAACATTCCTTGACTTCTAGGAGGCATTTGATTCGGTCCTTAGGCCACACCTCGGTTTTGGCACGTACTGTGGGGGTGGGTGTACGAACTCGTCTCTCTGCAGGATACATCTATGCAAGGGGGAGGTGGCTTAGCATTTGGAAATAAAAGTTCAAAAGCAGCTGGGAGTCAGGACTCTGGGGGGAACCTTTTTGAATTTAGCAAACCAGTTACAAAGTGGGAGGAGAGACACACTCCTGCTGAGTCCTTTCAGAGTGACAGGGTCCTAGGGGGAAGGTGCGTCAGCTGGGGGGGAATTGGAGGCGGGGCGAGCAGCATTCAGGTGCAGCCACCAATGGCTACGGAGCGTCCTCGGGACCCTCAGCAGGGGAGCATGATACGCTCTCCCAGAAGATGACTGTCCGCTCAGCAGAGGTTCCTCTGAACGACACCTGCCGCGAGTCTCTCTTTCGTGCCTCTCCCCGTGAATATGCACAGCTTGGCCTCCCAAGACTGTCAGGTTTGGAATAAGCACCCGTGAGAAGGAGTCGCATAAAATCTAAGAAAGTAGGTGGTAAACCTTTGTTACCCTAGTTTGTGTATATAAAATCTTTTAAAAAGTAGTTTCATAGTAGGTAACTAACATTTCCTCTGCAAAGAACTTATCTGCCAAGTGTTCAGATTGAGACTTGAAATAATTCCATTTAACACTGGACAAAACACCACGGTTAGGACAGCAGTTCACAAAATTATGGAACTTTCACGGCGTTGCAAGGACGAGGAGGTGGTTGTCTCTGGAGCGTTCTCTGGAGGGTGCGCTGGGGTCTTGACCGAGAGCAGGCATCAGGGAAGACATCCCGGCCTCCGGCACTGGGTCTGGTTCCATCCCTGGTGCTCCCCACAGGCTCAGCTTCTCTGCTTGCAAATAATTTTTTCTTCATCACTTTCATGTTTAGTTTTGTCTAAGTTGCTGCTGGGCTCAAGTAATGATGAACACATCACTTAATTATGGTTCTTGCTCCTGGAAGAGCTAGAAACACTTCAAATCAAAGCCAGCGGTGGAGAGGGCCCCATGTTGGTCCTCGACTTCTAAAGCTTCCGGAAGCCCAGGGGCGGGCTCCTGCCTTGCCGGGACGGCCTCCAAAGGACCACTGCCCAGCAGTCCCGATTCTGTGGGCCGCAGATGATCGGACTTGGCTTTTGCAAGCATCCCACACATTTGAGGAGAGAGCCATGACCCCTCATGTTTAACCAGCCTATGCTTTGCCCCATTCCCAGGGAGCTCACAGGGTTTTAGAGGCAAGATGCCGTGTGTCTGTGAGGGAGTCAAGCCCGGGAGAAAACAGACCTGATGGAGAGCTGTCGGCCTGCGTGTGAACAGACGCCAGGCTGTGTAAGCAGCCAGCGAGGGACCTCTGGTTCCCATTCTTTCCGGAGCATTCTGCAGCCACTCTGTGCTAATGGGCCTTTAGCTTACTATGGAAAAGGCGCCTTTCCTCCTGCATTTTATTCACTGCCCACAATTTATTGCAACTGTCAGCATAGTACAGGTGACAAGATGGACTCCTCGTCGTGAAGGCACAGGCGCTGGTGTGACCTGCATGACATGGCTCAGGACAAAGGGTGCCGGGAGCTGAGGGAAGGCCCCTGAGCTCCAGTCTGCGTGGGCAAATAGGCCCTACGCATCAGCAGAACCTTCCGAGGGACAGAAGGCCTTGATCTCTTAGTCTGTGGCTTCCTATTTCAGTTTCAAGTATCCAGCCAAACTGTCAAGCAAGAATAAACAAATGAGCAGATGAAGACAGAACAGAGCCCTGGGAATTCTGGGGATGGGGACTGAAAACCACTATCTTCAGCCACTGATGAGAGTGGCGTGTCTGCAGTGGAATGTGAAAAACTGGGAGTTCAGGCTTGGAGAGAAAGGAGCTGTTGGGGAAATGAGACATGAAATATCACAAATAGAGAATTCAGCCATCCGGGCCCATTTCTGGGAGACGCGGTTCCATGCCTGTTGGCAGGACCGTTCCAGTTTCAGGCGTGCAGACCAAATGCAGTGTCTTGGTGACCTGGACTGACACCGTTTGGGGCGACAGCTTTGCCTGGGCAGCGGGATGAACCGTGATAGCCCATCTTCTGCTCTCCCGTCCCCAGATTCACAGGGGGGGCTCCACGGTCACACACACAGTGGCTCTGCGGCTCTGGCCCCTTGGGGATGCGCACCTCCCCAAGCTGATCCCAGACATGGTGCCTGGGGCCTTCTGTCCCTCGGAAGGTTCTGGGAACCTGTGGGAACTCTGGACAAGGCTGATTGCCCCTCTGAGCAAAGACCAGCTCAGGCACTGGCTGCATCTCCCTTCAATGCTCCACTGGCCTCTGAGTCCCTTGGGCCACGTGAGGTTCTGGCTGGCTTGATGGAGAGACTGCCAACAGAGACCTTCTGGTGTCACCCCTCCCCTGCCCCACTCACCACCAAAAGGCTTGGTCCAAACCAGGGAGCTGCTCTGAAGCACACATGTGTGGCGCCCCAGGCATCTTGAACAGGTGTCCGCATGCCTGTACTTCTATGTGCTGGAGCAGGGTGGGCGGGGTGCCCACGGGCCTGGCAGGATGACACAGGGCAGCTCAATAATGCTACCAAGAAAGGCGGAACCAAGACAGGGCAAAGGGGGACAGGGACCCAAAACGACCTCCACCCAGCTGTTGTGCGCTGGGCAGCTGTGCTGTCTTCTAGCCATTGGCACAGGAGCCGGCTGGGACATGCCCTCCCCTGATTCTGTGGCTACATATTTTTAAAAGGAGGAACCTTGAATGTGATTTCCCCCCCAATGATACCCTTCCTATTTAACACTGGAAGTCTTGAGGTGAAAACATCAACATTACCTTTTAACAAAAATGTGATTTTTTTTGGTGTCATACAACAGTCTGATTTTTACACACCACCCAGCGATGGTCATATAAATTTGCCAGGAAAAGCATGGTAACACTTCCACTGACCACAGCTCCTTTCACGCTAAACACGGTACTGGAGCATGAAGATGTGCTGATGAACCACATTGACAGCGCTCTTGTGAACAGGTGGCATTCGCCTTTTGGCCTCTGTTACACGCTAGCGCCCTGTTATACTTGTGTTGGATTCTGAAAGTCAACTAAAGCCCGGCAGTAGCGACCTGTTGGCCCTGAGGAGAATGATTTCTGAAGAAACACTTGGGTTTCAACAGTTGTTGGCCGTCTTGTCAGGGAACACGGACCAGCGAGAGCTCTGGCTGCAGGCACACACTGCACTTTCACGATGAACTTCATAGAATGTGGGCATTATTTTCAAATGCATTCTCAAATTTAATACTCTCTTATTAAAATTATATCCGTAACCGGGAATGATGGATCCGTATTATGTATCTGGTAGAAAGGACTGAAATAAGTTAGCTTGATTGACAAGCACAAGTATCAGAAACAGTTTTATTTCTCTTTACATGTACACACGCAAACACAGCTTATTTTCTGCATTTCCTGGAGGACTGTCACCTGTCTGGGAACTGAACGTACGGCACTCAGTCACGTGGCACCAACAGCTGGCTTCTCGTCAGCGCCACCGTTACAGGACGCTCTTTGGAACTTGGTGGACTGCTCAGCAGTTCACATGTGTCCCCCACCTTGGCTGCTGTCAAATTTGGTTGCAGGTTGAACTGCTCCCCTAAGGATGGTTTAGGCCAAGACTTTTGGGGGCTTTAAGATAAAAACTAGTATTGAAAACAAAAAACGAATCAAATCCAGTGAACACTTTTGTTCAAGTCAGGAAAGGAGAATCTGGGATCTAGAATAAATAATCATTGTCTAATTTTATAATTTGTTGTTATATGTTTCATACAAGTTCAAGGAAGTGGGCTGAAATGCATCAGCTGCCAGTAGGTAAACCTGCAAGTGGGCAGGCGTGCACACGTGCATTTCACACTTCCTCTTCCAAGGTGGACACACCGACTTTGCTTCTCTCTGGTTATTTCTAAAGAGCAGCTCATTTGCAATAATGCATCGTTTTTTAAGTCTGAAATGCCAATACTTGCACATACATTTGTTTTTAACATAGTCTAGTGAATGTAGAAGCGTCATTGGTATACACTACTCAGGATTTAGGTAGAAAAAATGCTTTGAACACTCCGGGGAAATAGGATCATTTATAGAAGAATATTTCAGGGAAATTTTTTTTTTTTTGCATTTTTCAAGGTTATACATTCGTACTGATTTTTGCTTCCAAATATATTTTAAGGCTGTTTGGTAAAATATATACCAGTTATGAGGCTCAATTTACAGGGTTTTGTTTTTACAGGGAATTCTTAACTACTCAGCTTTAAAAAAGTAAAACTCTGAAGCTAAACATGCTTTATATCAACTGTGCTCCGATGAACCCATGCTCGGTGGGATGTAGACATGAAGAGAGGAGCTGCGGGTTTAATGAGCGTCCCGGCCGTGGGCCGCCTCGCTGAGGCTCCGGTCGGGCCATCAGGTTGCAGAGGGAGCCGGGCGCATTTTAAAGTGCGATTCAAGTTGAGAAAACAAAGTGCTGGAGAAGGGTGACGTGACGGGAAGGGGCCCTGCCCGCGTCTGAGTGCCTGGGACTCCCCGGAGTAGCGGGAGGGGAGGTGGGCATGGGTTGGTGTTGTCTGTCTTCATTTGCAAGCCTGCTTTTACCTTGAGTTACAGTGAGAACTCTGTGTATGGGACCAGCTGGGTGGATCTGAGCGGCTCTTCCTTTGAAGACGAGGCTCAACAGTGATGCGCCCCGGAATCGGACACGGTCGCCGCACCACATTGAACTCCACACATGGAGAGCCTTCTCACGCGAGTCTTTCCTGCTTTTCTCTGGTGCCAATCAGAATCCCGAAACAATTTACTTTTCTTAAAGTCCTTAGCTGGAAGCCACAATGTGTGACTTTTTTTTTCCCTTGGCATAAAACAGGCAAGAAATATATTCTTGACTTTAGCAACACTGCATAGGACAAAAGAATTCTGGAAAAATACAAATGTAAACTACATTTCTTCTTTACCATTTAAACTGAGATATGCTGACCCCTCATATTCATATTTCCTAAGCTTTTTACATCATCACAACTGTCATATTAAACAAGCAAACTTTTTAAGGATATCCTGGAAAGTTAACTGATAGAGCAGTTTGAGGACATATATATATACATCTTTTAAAAAATTCACATGTAGCATAAATGGTGAAACATAAAGACAGAACCAGGTGTGATATTTTAAGTTACAAAGGAATAAAAAATATGACTCCTTCACCGGAGTGAGGCCACACTTCTCTCTTTATGGTTCTGCCAGCCTTTCTTAGGACTCCCGATTTCTCGTCATCCGTCACTGCCTTGTGCGAATGAACATTCAGCTTATTTTTTGATTGTGTAGGTGCCTTGCTGGGTGTTTTTAGTGGGTTCAGACTTGTGATCCCCTGGGTCTGAGAAACACGCGGTCGGGCGTTTGGTGGCTGGAGAGACCTGGTCCCCACATGGATGTGGCATGAGGAGCCTTGGGGCAGAGGGACTCGGGGAAAAGCCGCCCAGGCTGGGGGCCGGGGGTCCTTCTTTCCTGCCCTTCCAGCTGTAGCACCTTCCGCTGGGGTATCTAATGCCTCAAGTGAGTGGTGAGATGCACCCATTTATAGTTATTTGTTATTCTTGCCTCTATTGTCACACGATTTATAAAAATATAAATAACAAAATTAAGCTGGGTTCCATCTCAAGAGGTGTTTCTTGTTATCTTCTGAGAACAGAGTGCGTAGCCGGGCGCCCCACTTATCCCTCAGAGCTGAGTGTCCGTCAGGCCATCCAGTAGAAAAGGTCTTGTCCCTGCCGTGAGCTCGGCAAACTGCGAGGCGACAGCCTCCCCGCGTGTCCACGGCACGAGGACCGCGACGGCGGGGCGTGTTCGGGGAGCGGCGACACGGAGGAGACCGGGCAGTGAGCATCTGTACAGGGGTCTGTCCCGACGGAGGGAGGGAGACGCGTGGCGCTGGGCGCCTAGAGCCGCGTCTGGGCCTCGGGGATGTAGATCTCGATGCTGTCCGCGCGCTCCGAGGCCGCGTTCTGCCGGAAGGAGGCCGCCCGCTTGGCCGCCAGGAGCCGCCGCCGGGCCTCCTGGCGCTGTCTGTCGGGCAGGTCCAGGGACTTCTCCCTCGTGATCGGGAACTTCCCTTTGGGGGGCTTCTTTGGTATTGGAGGGGGGACCTTTCTTTCATCCTGAAAAGCACCACAGGTCAGAATTGGGGAGAGTCAGAGGGCTCACCCCAGGCACAGACATGGTCAGAGCAGGGCCCTCGGCCGCACGCTGCACGCACGCCACTGAGCACCGTGGGCCCTGCTCGGCCACGATGGCCTGGCCTCCAGCGTGGGACGTACTTTCTGTAACTTTCCTCAGATTCTTCATATACTAAGGAAATAAATATAATTTACTCCCTCACACAATAAGGAAAAATAAGGAAACAAATCCTGCATGTAACGTTTAACACTTGCCTCGTCTGCAATTTATTTTGATGTTGCTGACAGATTAATGCTCACCTGTCTGAGCTCCCAACTCGAGCATCCCGGGCATTGGGATGCCACCTGCCGCCCTGTCACAGGCTGCCATCCTCCCGACAGACTATGACCCCCAGGGACGTTCCTGAAGGCTATGTGGGTGTCATTTTCCATTCTGGGCCTAAAATCCTTGGCATGAGTCATACACATGCATAGATATACAATATGATGTAAGATAGATACAGGAGATATATAAATATAGTAATATAAAATTTTATAAAATATAAATATATATATATGAAAGTATTAAATGTATATAAGAGATTTTTCCACTTACATGGTGAAAAGATGCAAATAACTATTTCTGAGCCCAGCTCACATGATCAAATGTCACACTAGAATGTGTGTGTGTGTGTGTGTGTGTGTGTGTGTGTGTGTGTGTGTGTCAGAAAGGTGAACAGCGAAGGCCCCCTGTGATGCACCGGTGTGTTTCACGTGGACCCTCACTATCAGAGTCGGGCCAGCTGCTGACCGTGTCCTAGGGGGTCGGGGCAGAAGCCCTGCATGGCCCGTTGTCTCCTTCCCGAAAGGGCTGCCTGAGGACAAACTGAGCCCCCTCTTTCTCCAGGCAGACGCCTCACTGTTGGGGGAGACCGCAGGCTGTGTCCAGGGGCCGGTGTGACTGGGCTCTGGGGACAGGCAGCAGCCGCTGCAAGCATGGGTGGAAAGTTCTGGTGGCTGAAAGTCTGTTCCCACACTTGTTCTAAATGATGTGGGCCAGAAACAGGGGCCTCTTCCTGACTCTTCAGCATGCTTCCACAATGATGAGGTGCTACTGCGCTAAATTTTTCAGCTATTTTGGAGTCTCATGACCATATTTATCTCTCCCCTTCCCTGTGCAGCCTCTGAGCTGTGGGACGTCAGAAACACATCAGCAGTTCTCTGAGCATCTCCCCGTGGAAGGGGCATCCTGGGTGGGCAGAGGGCAGGTCAGGGGGCCTTGCAGACCTCAGGCAGCCCCGGGAGCCTCGGTGTGACCAGAGCAGTGTGTTTCCCGCCCGTGGGCACTGCAGCCCAGGCCCGGGATGCGTTTGAGGACCACTCTCTCCTAGAGCTTAGGTCCAGGGCTTATCTTAGGCGTTAGTTACTGAAGAATGAAAACCAGGAAGGCCACTGCCCATCTTTGGGCTCGACTGTCTGAAAACTATCTTTACTAGTTTAGTAAGTTTTGTACTCAGTATTTTATTAGAATAACCTTCTTACTCGGAATCACTACACATGGCCTCCTTTGCTTCAAAATGGACCACAGGTTACCTGACCTGCTTATGTACCCCCACCGGCTCACACACAACTTGAGCACTTGCATGCCCTCTGCCCATTACCCGTGGGCAAGAGGGGGTGCCCGCATCTGCCGGGACACAGCCCGAGACACGCTGTGATGACCCAGGGTCCCTCTGGGACCCAGTGTGTGGTGACAGCTCTGCTCCATCTAGATCTACATCCTACTCTATATACTGAGCACCACCATCCCTAAGTATGTTGGGATAATTTTTTTATCATTTTATTTCAATTGAAAATGTCTGTATAGAAAAATCAAATGATTACTCGGAACTTCTCTAAGGTGTGGTGGGAAATCAGGGCCCTCACTGCTGACTCAGGCCTGCCCGTGACCCTGAGCCGAGGGGCCTTTGGAAGTGACGTCACAGGGCTCAGATTCAGTGGGGTTTCCAGCCGCTAAGGGCCGAGGCTAACATATGTGCAGGAGGCTGTGGTCACACCGTCACGTGCGGACACGCGGCTGGGCAGCTGCCTCAAGCAGGGGTGGTCGTGGTCAGCAGGTCTGGGCTCTCCCCATGGGAAGCCTTCCCAGCACAGGGCAGATGGGGGCTCGGTGGGAGGCCGAGGACAGGCCCCGGGGGCAGCAAGACTAGGGTCGCCCGGGCCTTTGCTCGGCGTCGTCCCTGACCTGCCCGGGGCCAGAACAAAGCTACTATTTACTGCACATGGTGGACGACCCGCCTCCAGCCCAGTTATGCTCACGCGCAGACGCGTCTGTGGAAGTCTGCTCCTGCGTTTCTACCCAGAGGCGGGGAAGTGCGGCTCGCGGTGCATCTGCAGCAGACCGTGTTGGTGAGGCCGCGGGCACAGGGGGGGCCAGGGACGGCGGTGGCGGGGGGCGCCGCAGGGCGCACACGCTCACCTTTCTCTCAGGAGACTCCATGATCTTCCAGCCGTTGAGCTTCAGCTGGTGCAGCTCATCGAACTTCATGCCCACGTCCTCAACGGAGAGCTGCAGCATGTCCCAGTACCCCGCCAGGTCCTGCGAGGTCGGTCTGGGCATGGCGCCGGGGTCCTGCGGACACACGCACACACTGCAGCTGGGGTCTCCGGCCGGCCAAGGGCGGGCGGGGCTGCCTCTTCCCAGCTGCGCCCTTTAAGGCTCGGATCAGGGCGAAGCCCAGCCCACATCTAACCCGAACACTGGACAGGGCCCGTGATGACCCAAACGGGTCACACACCCATCTGCTGGCGGCTCACAGACATGAAGAGGCCACACACTGTGTGATGCCGGCTGTGCGACATCCTGGGGAGGGCACAACTGCGGG